TTTTTGATGATTGGAGACAAGAGTTACAAATACTAAAGGAGACAATATTGGAATGGACTTTGTGGTATTTTATTTGAATTGGGGTTAATACTTTGAGTTCATTATACTTATTTCAAATGAAAGCGCTTAAGAACAGGACACGCCAACAAGAGGCATAAGCACACAGGATCTTGTTAAGCAAAATCCAAAATAACTAAGTAGTTAAAGGGAATTAATGTTTCTTAGAGAAAGGTTGACTTGAGGACTAGGGCAGGGGATGTACAATATTAGCTTTAACATTTTATTTTTTCAGAAAGTAATGAAGCTCGCAAAGAATGGAGATATAGCAAGGCTGATACAAGGAGCAAACTTGAAGGGTGTTCTCAAACGGAAGAATTTTCTTCAAAATAACTGATCTGTATTCCAAAATACCAGAGATAAGTAAAACAGAAAGGAGCTATTCCTAACTAAAGGAGATGAAAACTGTGTAGCATTTAAATGCAATGCACTATCCTGGGTTGGTTCATCCATAGCAAGCATGCAAACAGAATAAAGGGTATGTTTGGTACAATTAACTAGATAATTGTATTGCATTAATGTTAAATTTCCATGATTTGTTGTGATCATGTAGGAAAAATATCCTTATTCTTAGTAAAAATTCACTGAAGTCTTTAAAGTTTTAAAAAAGAAAACCCATAATATCTAACTCTGCTATCAAATGGTTAAAAAAAGTCCCCAGACTTAGAAAGAGATAATAATAAAGTACACAGGGTAAAATGTGAAAAACAGATACATTTGGACAAAGGTATAAGAAGACTCTCTGTACTATTCTTGCAATTTTATACACGTTTGAAGTTATATCAATATAAAAAGTTTGGAAAATAAAAATATGCTGAATATTGTGCAAAATTTAGACTCTTCTTTCACGGAGCTTTTCTATACATGAACTGCAACACAGTAAAATTTTTATTGCATGTTTTTATGGTTCACAGTAATCAAAAGTATTGCAGCATCTAACTGTTGTCCTGACAACCACCCTAGAAGGTAGACATCCTTATATCACCCTACAGATGGGGAAACTGAAACTTAGATATTATCATCACACAAGCAGTCAGTTGCATATGTAGGATTATAGTCCTCCTCTCTGGTTTAAAGTCTACCTTGCCCTTTAAACCATAGCAAAGTTGGCTCACACATTTTCAAATCCCTCTTTGAAGGTTACAAAAGGAAAAAAAAACTAGGAGCACTAAGTGGAGGGACACACATGGGAGTGTTGACAATAAGATTAGAGACATAAGAGCTGTTCAATTAAACCATTTAACCACCTGCAGGATAAAACATCTGGAACAGTTTTACACTGAAAACAAGCCCCTTGTAAAGCATGAGTTCAATGGTTACTTGATCAGGGTTATTCTTTTTTATCAGGAAACCAAACTTTTCACTGTATAATTAGAATTCTAAGGGGGAAAATACCCAGTATTAATATATTGATAAAATATTAATTTGCTCAAATTACCTAAAATAACATCACAAACTTTCTTGCTTTGTTAGAGACATGAAGTAAAAAGCAAGAAAACTCTTGGGCACTGGAGAAAAAAATTAAGTCCATTAAATGGCTAAGGAGAGTTAAATGCAAGGTTGGTGAGGCTAATTTTGAATTCATCACTGTTCTAGTACAGCATATCTCTTTGCTTGTGTTCAAATTGAAACTGTGTGAAAAGACATTTTATGTCCTATATGACTGAACACATGTTTACATATTAGAAGAAACTGTCTATTTTCTTCATATATTTATGATTTGAAAATATATAATATTAGCATCATTGACGTATGATAAGTACATCTCTAAAATAGAAAATTGAAAGATATGACAACTTTACTGAAGGACTGGTTGGCATTTAGAAATAATATGTTCTGCAAAACATCAAAAAGGAATTTACCAAATTACAAAACCAAAGTTAATATAGCAAAGTTACAACTTACTAAGCTCTGACGGGAAACTGAAAACACCAAATCTTTTGCTAAAAGTAGAGTTGGAATTTCACTCTGTCGCCCTGACTGGAGGGCAGTGGCATGCTCACAGCCACTGCAGCCTAGACATGCTAGGCTCAGGTGATCCTTCCATCTCAACCTTCCAAGTAGCTGGAGCCACAGGCATGTGCTACCATGCCCAACTACTTTTTTTGATTTATTGTAGACACGAGGTCTGACCATGTTGCTCAGGCTGGTCTCGAACCCCTGAGCTCAGGTAATCCTCTCGCTTCTGCCTCCCAAAGTGCTGTGATTGCCAAGTGTGAGCCACTACACCTGGCCAGCTAACAGTAGTTTTTATTTGCAACACAATTAGGGCATAGATATTACCCATCTGCAACATGTCTAAGTCAAAGAATATGTGTAGATAAAGGTTAAAGCCATGTTTAGAAGGGGCTGGAAAAGTTGCCTGCTATAGATGCTTGCTATAGTAAGATTGAACCAGATTAAAATATAATTATCAGGAAGCAGCAGTCAAGAAGGTGCACTTTAAACACCAGAGGCTGCAATTTAGTCACTTAGATATGGCACTCAATACATAGAATTAGAACACTTTAGATCAGGTATGTCCAATCTGCATCTGCATGAGACCCAGGAAATCTGGCTGCATGAGACCCAGGAAAGCTCGTAATGCAGCCTCACAATATATTTTAACAGTATATGATTTTTAGCATTTATTTCCTTCGTGACCCCATGGCATAGTTTCATTTATGAAGTTCACAATCACGCATTATTCATGATATCGCTTTTTGGCAGCACACACATTTGTGAACAGCTGTTTTCAGTTATGAGGTGCACGAAGAGCAAAACTTGAACACACATTTCTGATGAGCACCTCGAGAACTCATTAAGAATTGCGACCACTTCCATCGAACCAGACATTGATAGATTTGTTTTTATAAAAACAAGGTCAAATTTCCAACTGGTTTTATACTGTTCTCATTTTTCTAAACTTTATTATAAAAATATGAAAAGTAAAATAAGTCTCATTATGTATATGCACTAACTATATTACATAATTTATGTTTGGCCCAAGACAATTCCTTTTTACTCTATGCGGTCCAGGGAAGTCAAAAGATTAGACTCCCCTACTTTATTTGATTTTATTTTTTTGAGTTGGTGTCTCACTCTTGTCACCCAGACTGGAGTGCAGTGGCACGCTCCCAGCCACCGCAAACTCAACCTGCTGGGCTCAGGCCATCCTTCTGCCTCAGTCTTCCAAGTAGCCAGAACTACAGGAATGTGCTACTACACCCGACTAATTTTTGATTCACTGTAGAGACGAGGTCTTGCTAAATTGCCCTGGTGGGTCTCAAATCGGCGGGCTCAGACAATCCACTCACCTCGGCCTCCCAAGGTGCTGGGATTACAGGTTGAGTCACTGAGCCCAGCCTGGACTCCTCTACTTTAGATGTAGATGTTGTAGTACTGTGGATAACTCCTTTAAAGACTAACTAGTTGGGTAACCTGAGATCTTGGTCATAGATCTTCATTCTCCAGATTCCTAGGATTGCATTTGAGTCTGCTTTCACTCTGGTATGGCAGGGCTGTAGACATAAACTCTATCCTTTAGTTCTCACGTTCCCAGGTTTTCCCTGTCTCCTCTAAAACTTCCACAACCCTCTGTGTCTGTGTTTCTTTATTTGTCCAAGAACTTTCAATGTCTATGTTGGTAGGGAGAGTTAACTCTTGTAACCTGATTAGCTGTGGGAGCCTCTTCCATGCCTGAGTATACTTGGTTCTTTACTCAGAGATTCTAGAGGCTGAGTATACTTCCATGCCTGAGTATACTTGGTTCTTTACTCAGAGATTCTAGAGGCTGGCTACACCCTAACTCTCACAGGTAATATGGTCTACTCTGGGGGAGGAGACCAGTCCTAGGTCAGGCTCAAACATCTTCTGTGAAGAAGCTCTTTTTTTTCCTGACCTAATTCAGAACTATTGGAAGGCGACTACTTAAAGAGATGCCTTCTCTCATGTGGAAGTAGAGAATTAAAATCTTATTTTACCCAGGGTCATTTATTTCCCCCCTCATTGTTCCCCCTTCTTTCCACTCTCTCTATTATTACCCGTGGCACTGCATTAGGAGTAGCTGCTTCTAGAGAGAAAATAAGTCCTAGAATCCAATGTGTACTTTGTCCTGTTATAAAAAGCAGAGTTAGATATGGTTGATATTAGTTCTAAATTTCAGGTATTGATAGTGTTAAAATAGATGTGACTTGAGAACTAAACAAACACTTTTATTTTAATTCACAACAAAGTGCCAACTCATGAACTTCTAGGGCATAATATATTAATAACTGGAGAGATACTTACACATAAATTTTTTTTTTTTTTTTGAGTTGGAGTCTCACTCTGTTGTCCAGACTGGAGTGCAGTGACCGCTCCCGGCCACCGCAGCCTCGACCTGCTGGGCTCCGGCGATCCTTCCACCTCAGCCTTCCAAGTAGCCGGAATTACAGGCATGCACCACCACACCCGGTTGATTTTTTTATTTATTGTAGAGATGAGGTCTCGCTGCCCAGGCGGGTCTCGAACCCGCGGGCTCAGGCAATCCACTCACCTCAGCCTCCCAAAGGCGTGGGATTACAGGCTGAGCCACCGAGCCCGGCTTTACACATACATTTTGATGTTACAATTTGCTAGCAATAAATACTGAACTAATTTTATGGTAGCCAGCACAGCTTATACATTAAAGACTAATTTCACACTCTTAAAAATGCTTACCTGGTGAATAAGTAAATATTTCAATTTTAAAATATGTAAGAAACATAATATTGGATACAAATATCAAATAAAGAATGATTTTAAATTGAACTTTATTTGTACACATGATTTAATGAGAAAATGATTGGAATTTTTAAAATGTTGTCACATAGAAGGAAAATTTCCCTGATGGGATGTTTTTGTGAGATTGAATGAAATGAGATGCTTGGCAGCGTCTGTTGTGACAAACTTGTTTGACAGGAGACACACGACATCAAACTCACCCATACACACAGTGTGCGGCGGACACCAGCCAGTCACTGCTGACGAGAGATGCACCACAGAGCAGGCGGTTATTATAATACAGGGCAACTACCCAGGGCCAGGTCCCTTCTCTGGCATTACTGCCTCCAACAATCTTGGGGGTAACATCCTGAGCCAACAGTTTTTTTCCACAAGCTATTAAAATAATTGAAGAAAGAGTATTATTTTACTTTGGTAATTTCTTCTGACCATGAAAATTGAGTGGTGACAAGATAAGGTAACTTCTGATGACAAACAAACTCTGAAATTTTAAACTGACAGCTAGAAGGAGAATAAGACAAAAATATTTACTTACATTTATGGTTACATTGTAATAGAATTACAGAATCTTGTAAACACTGTTGACTGCAATAGAAGAACAAATATAATTCAAAATTTATGCATTTAACATTTAAAAGTAAAGTATAAGTGTAGGCTATTCTATTTTTTTTTTTTTTTTAGTAAAATGAACTTTTTAATGTAAATATCACATGTTAGATATAGGGATACTGAAAAGCACAGCAGAAGCCCCAGTTTAAAGTCAAATGTAGCTGAGTTTTCATCTTTGTTTTACCAATACTATGTGATTTGGGGCAAATTTCTCAATATCCTGGAAACCCAGTTCCCTCCTCCATAAAATAGGGATAATAGTACTTACTTCATTGGAATGTTGTGACAATGAAAAGCAATATTTGCAAAGGAATTATCATTGCGCCTTGTACAAAATAAATATTTGACAAATAATAGATATTGCTATTTTACCAGAGCCAACCTTAGATTTCGTCATTCTAGAACACAGAGTATGCCTCTGTCTTGCCAGCCCCACAACTATTCAGAGTCCAGCACAGAATTGAATGATAAATGAGTCACATGTGCTGTTTTCAAAGGAGACATGAATATAAATAGGAAATATAAAAAAGTAACCATAAATTATTGAAAAACTCATAACTTGTTTAAAAATTCAGATACCAACTCTTTTCAAAGTCAAGAATTCCATTATAAAAAATAAAAAATGTTTTACAATGTGTTATACTTACTGACCACTAGAGATCAGTATAACACAAGGAATTAAAGTATTCACACTATTTTCTAGTGCAGCTACTGCAGATGTTGGTTACATGAAAACGTACATACACATATAATTTTAATGACATATATTTATACATTTAGCGACATCTAATGCACATGCTATTTACGTGTTTGAACTTTTATGGATAAAAAATAAAACAAAAAACACAAAATAAGACTTAAGGGCCAATGAAAACAATTCACTATTTCTGGAACATACATGATAAGGTTTTGAAATCACATATGATTAGAATATATTTTTAGAATAAAGATAATTTTAATTGAAATATGAGAAAAATTATTTTATTTTATTTATTTATTTTTTGAGTTGGAGTCTCACTCTGTCACCCAGGCTGGAGGACAGTGGCACACTCACAGCCACTGCAGCTTCGACCTGCTGGGTTCTGCAAACCTTCCACCTCAGCCTTCCAAATAGTTTTCACCTCAGCCTTCCACGTAGAACCACAGGCATGCCCCACCACACCTGGCTAACTTTTTGATCTATTGTAGAGATGAGGTCTCATCAAGTTGCCCAGGCTGGTCTCGAACCCGTGGGCTCAGGCAGTCCTCTCACCTCAGCCTCCCAAAGTGCTGGGATTAGAGGCGTGAGCCATTGCACCTGGCCATGAAAATGTATTTTATTAATAACCAATGTGCACATAGAAATAATATGTATAGTCAGAATGAGTGATAAATCTTTATTTTGCCCATGTTTATTTACATAAATTGGAAAGTAATATAATTTCTGTCCTGGCCTTTGGTTCCAGAGTCAGAACTATGTTAGTCCTCTGTACATGAAGAATGACAGTGCCATTATCCTCTGTCTTTCTCTCAGCCCAGTAGGGTGACACTGTGATTTAAATGGGTTCATGTTTACTCTATTGACAAAAAAAGAATTAATTTATCTCCCAATTTATGCCCAAGGATATGACCTTTTTTCTCATTGAAAAACCTATAGTTTTTCTTTCTTTTTCCTTTCCAGAATTGCTATTTAAAGTGGCTGCCTTAAGGACTTTAGGAGATACCATGTTAGAGTAGAGAAGTAGAGGGCTTTGGTCAAACAGATTTGGCTCAGACTCTTCACGTTAACTATTAGCTTTGTGAACTTGCGCAATCACTGACCAACACCAGGCTTCCTTTCTTCATCCTTACAGTGAAGCAATACTACCTGGGTCGTAGAACTTTTGTATGAATTGGAAATAACCTCTGTAACATTCCAACCACATTGTCTGTCACGTGATGGACATTCAATAACGTGATTAGCACTTTGCATGTTGTATCTAGCATTGCGCTTAGAACAAGATGTTGGCCAATATATATTAAATCAAATTCCCATTGACTTCAAGGACTACTACTGAATTTGTCCAAAGAATCGGACGTAAAGAGGGCCTCGTGTTGGCAGTTGCAAGCATTTTATGACATCTCTAGTTAAATCAGGTCAGATTGCTGATGTTACAAGGGGTGGCCTTTTCCCAGTGGAGAAAAATGGTGGTCTGTCTTGTATATGCCTCATAATAGGATAAAAAAGTGGAATGTGGCTCAGTATATTTTTCATAGTTGGGAGAATAATTTTCCCTGATCTGCTCTTTGTTTACTTATTCTTTCATTGAGATCACTAGTGCAAAGACATTTTCAAAAGCACCAGTTTTCACAGGGCAATTAACGTAATCATGTTGTCAATAAATAAATAAATGCACAAGTGAATTAACTAACCAAATGAATAAATAAATGAATATATGTATGATTTTCTGTCAACCCAGCATAATGTGACTAATTAAGGAAGTGAATAAGGACATTTCAATAACTGGCTTGTAGGTTAAAGTATGTTTATAAATGATGTCTCTTTCAAATGATATGAACATATAACAGTGACATCAATGTAAGAGGATACTGACATTTTGTTGATAAACACTGAATAAGCTAGCTGTGTTCTGAAACATACATATAATTAATATGAATGGTCTTAAAAGTTTTTTCTTTTTTTTTTTTTCTTTTTTTTGAGTTGGAGTCTCACTCTGTCACCCAGACTGGAGTGCAGTGGCATGTTCCCAGCCACTGCAGCCTCGACCTGCTGGGCTCCGGCGATCCTTCCGCCTCTGCCTTCCAAGTAGCTGAAACTACAGGTGTGTGCTACCATGTCAGGCTAATTTTTTATTTATTGTAGAGGTCTTGCCAAGTTGCCCAGGTGGGTCTCGAACCCGCAGGCTTACTAATTCTTAAATGTCTATAAGACATGCATTGAAGAAATTCACAACGTACCAACTGCTTCAAGATCTATAGTGGTGATATAAGCATAGACATGTCTTTCCTACAAGGAAATCTGCAAATGCCTTGCTTCACCCTCAGTAAGACTCATAATATCAGTCAAGACCCAAGAAACATTGACATGAAACATTCTTTTACTGATATCAAAACTTATCCTTTACCATTTTATTTTTTTTTTTACGGGTTGAGTTTACAGAGATAGTAAGTTTTCATCTATAGCTGAATAATCACATAAATTCATTTTTTGCCATTGAACAAAATACATCAGCAATAGCATCTTAAATCCTTGTTTGTAGTTATGGCTTCTTGCAGTTACTTTTTTCTTACCAACAGATGTTCTTTAATGGAACTATAAAATTCAGAAGCCAATTTCAACCAAAAAAAATGTCATTAAGCCCAAAGAGGAGAAATGACATAATCTAAGTTAAAACAAATCCTTGAATACAGAAAGGATGCTGCTTTTTAATTCTTTAGTAAAGCCTGTAAAAGTAAACCTAATTTTAAAAAGCAAGAGAGGATATGGAGACACAACTAGATGTCTAGACTTCTTCATTTAATATTCATGTTCTATTTGCTAAACAAGAAAAAAGAATACCATGATTTTTTTCTCCCTCTTTATTTTCTTTTGATGGTAGCTAATTTGTGCTGTCTCTCAGTCTGACCAACATTGGACCTATATCCCAGGTCTCACAATTTCTTTCTATGTGGTTTAATTGTTTATGAGTCTGAAAGAATGAAAAAGAGTATAATATTGAAACTTACCAAGTCCCTATCAGTGTGCTAGAAAATTGCATATTCAATACTTCATTTATCATATGTATGAGGGTTAGACAATGTTATCAGAAAGGATTAAAATAGATACTGCTTGAGATTAACTGAAAATAATAGGAGTCAAATAACTTTCAAGATTATGGCCAGTATGTAATAGCATTCAAATATGATGGCTTTAAAAAAATCTTCTTTCCAGTCCATGTACAACTAGTCCAAAAACCAATTTTAGGACTTACCTGGGTGTTAGCATTAAGTTGCCATCAGGTGCTGTGTTTAACTTAACAAATGGTCCACCTTTGGTAGAAAACATTGGACTTGATGAGTTTTCATTCCTAGAAGAAAAAAAAAAAAAGAAATACAGACACATTATAAGCAAAACAAACAAGCAAAAAGTAAGCTACACTTTTAGTTCTTTAATGCTGTGGAAATTGAAAGAAATTATAGAATTCATACAAAATGATTAACATTTTAATATAAAACTTCAAATGCTTTCCTATCTTAAGAATAATCCAAATCAGTAGAAGAATTAATCATAATGACATGAAATGTAACTTTAATTTTTGTCTTTGTTTGAATTTTTATGTTATTTTGCAAAGTTAAAATCATTGCATGTATCACTTGGTTATCTGACTTTTTAAAATTGATTTTTATATGTTGTCCAATAGTTTCCATAATGACCATCTGAATGACAGTTTCACAGGGTTGTTGCACTGCAGTCTATTAAGACTTTCTCCTGTTGAGTGTGATTCATCTTGTAAAAAATTCATATTGCTTAAGAACAACATAGAAAAAGATGATCTTCACTGTTTACCTTTCATAATGCTGCTTTGTTCTTGGTTTTTTATTTAATTCAAAGGCTAACAAGCCCTAGTTTAAAGTCAAAGCCATATCATTGTTCTGCAAGAAAGAATAGTAGTCTGGACCTGCAATTGTCAACTGATGAGCCACCATGGGGTGGAGAAAGAAACATTTTAGTGTGACAAAAGATATTTAGGTCCCTAGGCCTTTTTATCCCCCATGAAAACTTGTTATACCCATGCTCTCAACAGTGAACTTCAATTGAAGTTTTCTCTTAATGCTCCTGACACTATTCCTTAAATTCGGCTGGAAACGCTTAGCTTTCAATTTCTAATCTTGTTTTCTGCCTTTTATTATTGCAGATTTTAATCTTTATACAAAAATATGCTTTTAGGCTGGAAGCATTCTGATTCCTGCTATCTTCTACTAGTTAGCAGGGAGATGATGCAGTTTCTAACTTGTGGAGTATGGTGGACCCACTCATTGTCTCTTTAAAAGAAGTCCCGATATCTTTCTCAGACTATTGCCAACTCTGACCCTTTCTATGTGAGTACAGGCAATTTCCAAGGAACACTCAAAGCTGTTATGATTAATATGAGGAGAACAAGGTAGAGGGTGGCTCTGTTCTCTCAAGGTAGAGGGTGGCCTTGAGCACGCTGAAATAGTGTTTGGTAACTTTCAATCACTGAACAGAGAGCTGGGACAACAGAGGTTCTATTTAACCTCCCAGAAATGTGGCATCTTGCACTTTTATTTTATAAACAGATAAACATAATCCAAGCACACAAAACCATGGAATTCCCTTCATAAAGCCTAAAATGGATTCACCAAAGAAAACACGAACCTTGTTATTGTTATTGTTTTTGTTATGAAGTAAGCTATTGCCTCCATGTGAGAAGAAGAATCACTTATCTTAGTACTTCTAGGAAATACATAGCTTAGAAAACAAAAAAGGTATAAAAACCTCAATAGGTATCAAAGGATATAGAAAGTCTGGAATTCTTTATGTCACAAAGAATTTCGACAATGCAGAATACTTATATTTAAGGACTCACACATTTAGAGCACAAGACATAATGTGGATGAAAACAGATCTTAGAGGACCTTGAATTTTATCATCGTTGCAGCTTGCAATAGAATTAATCATACCAACCTTAGCGTTTAAAAATGCCTATGAAAGCCTCTCAAATTTAAAGAGACTCAAGTTGTGATTCACTGCCTGCCATCTCCAGAAACATCATTGGAATGAATTGATTAGTGACCATCTTTGCTGCGAGAGTAAAAGTAGGTGGGTCATGGTTACTCTTGTCTTCCATTTAGCCATCTCTCCTCTTTTCACGTTTGCTCTAATCTCCTCATTCTGTTCAATGTCTGCCACATGTTGAATGTTCTTCTAGATAGTTTTCTATGTCCCGACCCTCCATGATACATTCTCAAAGTGTTTTCCAAACAAGAAACATCAGCCTTACGAGGGATTGTATCGCTTCTCGGCCTTTTGGCTAAGATCAAGTATAGAAATGCAAATGCCCCAGCTTCACTCCAGGTCAATTTAGTCAGAAACTCTGAGGTGAGCATTAGCTACCTGTGTTTAACAAGCCCTCCAGGTGCTCTGGTGCCTGCTATGGTCTGGGAAACACTGTCGTAGCCAAATATGGTATCTTTTTCTTCTACTTGCACAAGGCTCTGCTTTTTGACCTCCAAAGTGGTTTCTAGTTACCTGATAAACTCTTTTAAGGGACACATGACTAACTGAGGGAACATCTTAAAGGGTACATCATCAAAAATATATTTGAAGATGTGGATTTTAGACTCCTTAAGTATCTTTAGCTATCTTCCTTTCCTGTTTTTTGGAGGTCTCTTTTAAGACAGAGCTTGAAGGAATACATGAATTTATCTGGAAATTCAAATAAAAATGTGGACAAAAATTAAATTTTAAAAATATTGAAAAATTATTTACAAATCTATTTTATCTAATCTATTTATTACACATCTACTACTGCATGTAGGATTGGCAGTGAATTTTTTTAACCTATGGTTATTCTAGAAGAAAAAAAGACTGGAAACAAGCCTTTAAGAATAATAGATATTCAATAAATGCTAATTATTCTTCCCTGAGATTCTAAAATGCCTTTCTATGATAGTGTTTTCACTGTCTAAAAGAGAAAACTACATACACACACACACGTGTGTGTGTATGCACACACACATACACACAGACACACAACACATGAAATCTTATATCTTGAGGTTACCTTTTCTACATTTTTTAGTCTCAAATTAAACATGAGAAAACAGTTGTAAATATGTTGTTTTGGGTTATTTGGAGTAACTAAACAAAATACTCTTTCAAAAAAATTTATGAAGTTCTCATATACTTAAATTTGTGTACGAAATATTGTTGCCAGAAACCTAAGAGTAGTGGATAGAGCTATCGATTGATATAAACATTTTTCTACAGTTTCTTTAGTCCTGCAGCTAAAGCGTGCAAAGGAGGCTCTTCTTTTCTTTTCTCAGTTTTCTTTTCTTGCAAAGAAATCCATTGTTAATGTTTAGAGAGGCACTCTGTGAAGATTACAACTAGAGTGTGCATTTTCAAAATCTTAAAAATGTTCCAGATCTCCAGATTTAGATAACATCATCACATATTCACATAGCTGTTTGAAATCAGAAGTTTAGTATCACACAGAAACACTACATGGCGTTACCTCATTGACATACTAATGCCTCCTGGCAACCTATTTCTAAACATGTATTACCATTTTTATGGGTTATGTACCCCCAAAGGGTTCCCTTGATTTCGGGAAAACTTTATTCCATGTGAGAAAAGAAGCATATAGATGCAACCATTATTATTTTTGAGGTTATAGATGGAGTATAAAAATATATACTCATGGATGAATTCTAGGGAGAGAAAGAAAAGAATATCCCAAGGCTACTTGCATGGTATTAAATCTTCTGTCTCTGTCCTCAGGTCCTGCTTAGGTTTCTTTTTTGTCTCACTCCTCAGATTGTATTTGCTGTGATAAGAATTCTTCCCTGGAGCAGGAGCTTAGGTAGGGATGTTTTAAGCCTTTGGACACACTAACGCTAAAAAGAATAATAATGCACACTACAAATACTGCAGCCAGGCACTGTAGCTCATTTCACACCCCAAAAGGTTTAAGTAATGAATAGAGCCAGGTGGGATAAGCCTGAAAAGGCTTTTGGAAAAGGATGAACCTTTCTTTTCAAATTGGAGGGAAAGAAGGAGATTGATTTAGTGGGACAGAAGGTTGGGGAGAGCATTTTTATAGGCAGGGGAATGGTGGATGGAATGGATTCGATGGCAAATTGTCCCATTAGGAGAATAAAGTCACGTGGGAAGAGAAGTAAACACCATTCCTGAACAGAACCCATTTCAACTACAATTGCTTATTCATTTACCACATTTATAGAAATACAGCACACACTTGGCCCTATGATAGCTCTTAGTAAACAGGTGAGTTTGATTATTTTTAGATTTTCTCACCTCAACCCTTAAAGAGTCAGTGACATTAACTCAGAAGTAATGAAAAGCCAATAAAAATAATTATCTTAACTTAATAAACTTCTTCCTTTGTGCAAGCTATGGTATTACGAGCAAGAGAGAAATTTGGGTTGCTCTGGTAGCTGTTTTCGTTCTCTTACCGATGTTAACAGTATTACAAAGTAATGAAACTGCTACTTGCATGGTATTTTCCTCCTACCAAAAATATGACTGAGATGAGTGATACTTTTATGAGAGCGTTACATTGATGGCAGTCTCTATGGACAACATCATGAACACCATGGGCAGCATGAGTTACTTTAACATGGTTTTCTAAGCTGCTATTGGAGTTTATTTATTTAGTTTTAAATAGAAGGCATATGACAAACGCATCCACATTTGCCATGACGTTTTCTCAGTGCATATATTTTTTTTCAGTGTATTATTACTTTGTAAGGACATATGCATGAGCTTTCCTTTAGGATTTAGTGTCAGACAAAACCCATCTTCCCTATGGAACTGGCAGCATTTATCTTATTCCAAAAGTTACCTGATTTTAAATATTTTCCTTTTTGCATAGTTTTCTAGAATTCTCAGACATAAATGTTAGTAATTATACTGACCTTCTATGTTTTGTAGCTTTGCCTCTTTGTTTCTCTGTCCCATAATTCTATGTAATAATCTATTAACCTTACTGTATTTGCTCTTTGTTATGTATTTCTGTTTATTTTCAAAGAAGAGAGAATGGAAGAAAGTCATGGAGGAAAAGATAGAAGGGAATAAGGATATGAGGAAGGAAAACCGTAAATAAGGAAAGAAAGAAAAGGAAAAAATATTGAAGGGAAGGAGAAATGAAGGAATGTTATCTCACTGGATTTTATCAATTTATTCAAAAATTGGTTTTGGTCTCATAAAATATACAACATTGATTACATCTTGGCACTTGGAAGCACTTTTTCAAAAAGAAATGAAATGAACAGGAAGGCTTTGTTATGTTTCATAGGGCAGAAATTGTCTCCTATCCTTACC